ATGAAGAGCTGAGGACGGTATTCACTTTTGAATTAGTCGCTCCGTCTGACGGTTAACTACACCACCTACTGTAACTACGCTCAAGATAACAACATGGACCTTGTTATCAAGCCTCGGATCTTAACATGGGCACTAGATGAAAGCTGGTAAGCCTCCTTTCCGAACACAATCATACTGGGAATAGCTGACACTATGTGAAATTGAACACAATGTGAAACGATCCAAGTGTTATTGTTAGATGTGGGCTTTGGACATAGATGTTGCTTTAGCAACATGTCGGCAACATATACAGTTGCGCTGTTGTGGAAGTGGAAACAAGGAGCTTTTCTTTCCTATTTACCCCGGCCAAAACTATTAAAACCTAAATGCACACTGCCATTTTAAAAATCGACCTCACCAATCACAATCCAAGCCTCATGGTGACCAAGCAAAATGAAGTAAAGCATCGGGAGAGTCGACCTGCACGCTTTGCCGGGGATATGCGCTCGGCGAAGAAAGAGGGTGTTCCCCTCGGACGAGCAGCCTTGTCGTTTGGTATGTCCAAAACAAGTTTACATCGGCGGTTCAAAAAGGGCGTCAATGCTGGGCAGTTCACAAGACAGTCCTGTCAAAGGACGAAGAAGAGGGTATTGTCCAAGTGATTCTGTACCGTTTGAAGGTAGGTGTGTGCATGACGGACGGTGAGCTGCGCATTCTTGCACGCCAGATTGCCGCAAAGGCAGGAAAGGCCATGTCCAAATTCTTTCCGTCTTCTAGATGGCCTACGTGCTTTGCTGATCGTCACATCTACCGGCTGACTCTCAAAAAGGCCCAAATCCTGGCCACCAAAAGCGCTTCGCAAAGGAGCGCATTCATTCGTACCACTTGCAGGAGGCTATGGAAGGCCTAAGTGCTGCTCAAGTTTGGAACTGTGATGAAACGGGGTTTTACCCTCAAGGCAGAACTCCAACCCGTCTGGTCTGCTCCAAGAGCAGGCGAGCTAACTTTGCGCGGTTCAATGATCGCGAGAACATGTCAGTCATGGCGTGTGTGCCCGCTGCAGGCGACCACATTCCTCCGATGTTCATATTCCCTGGCATTAACAGGCAACTAGAATGGATGGATGGAGTAGTTGATGGCGCTGTCTGCCCCATGTCCTAGTCTTCGAATATCAACGGGTTCTTGTTCTTGCACTGGTTGAAGTTTTCGACAAGGAGATGACAAAGAAGAATGTACTGAGACCGGTTTTATTAATTTTGGATGTCATTCCGCACACATCAGTGGTGTGCTACTTAAATACGCGAAGGCTCAAAAGATTAAACTCTTCGTTCTAGTTCAAACCCCAGTTCCTACAGAGCGCCAAGAGCGATACCTCAAACGTCAAGGCATCTCACCCGAATCTCTCGACGCAGCTTTTTTTAGGTTTCACCAGCTACTACAACTTATTCCGCTTTCTCAGATTTCCGAACCAAAAGCGAAACGCCAGCCAACCTCTGTTGAAGGCGATGTTCTCATGACACGGGACGAGATGAGTACATCGGTTCTTGAAGCAGAGGAATCCCGAAGAGAGAAAGCTGCTGAAAAGGTGAAAAATGCAAAAGAAAGAGAGATCCAAAAGAAGCTGAGAGAAAAAGCAGTCACTTTGAAGAAGATCCAACAAATAGAAAAGAAAGCCGCGCGAGAGCGAGCTGCTTCAAGAAAACGAGCCGCAAGAAGAAGCTGCAGTAAAGAAAAGATCCAACAGCTGGAGAAGAAGGCCGTATGAGATCGACATGCAGCTGAAAAGAAAGCTCTTAAGGCAGTTAAAGCGCTAAAGAAGTCGCTTCGTCCAACGAAACTGTTCAAGACAAGCCCGTCGACCAACACCAATGAAGTGGTTGAGCTAGAGGAGACTTCAAAGACGATTCAAGTCAATTTGCACGGCAGAGACACTCAACGTTTGGTGCTACTAGCTAGTGCTGTTGGGTTCGATGTAGCCATTTAGAGCGTCTTACTTGATTTTTGTAAAGAATACAATAGTTCCATGCTGTGTCGACTTGGACAGATCACCAGCAATTCCGTAAAACGCTAACAGAATTCTCAACTTCAATGAATCTTTTCTTCATCTCATCACGTTTTCTGGCATCTATCAAGGGTTGTATAGATAGTGATAGGTCTTAATTTTCCATTCAGCATGGACAGAGGTCATGAACACCCTTATTTTATAAGTATGGTCGGGTCCGCAGAGCACTAAATTCCTTCCATCCCACGTCAAATGGGATACCTTTAATACGTATGGACAGCCCTCAACGGATTAATACCCCGGTGCTGCGTAACTCGCTCGATGCTATCTCGTTCAACGTACAGCTGACTCAAAATGTAAGGTGAAAGGTGGGCAAAAGTAGCATGTTTAAAACATATTTTGGCGTCGTGCTGTCCGTATGTGATAGTTAAGGACTATCGATCTTTGGTCGCGAACTCTCGCAGGATTGCTAGCCACGCATTTTCTCTTTGTGTACGTGCCGAAGTCTCAACTGTTAAGTCTCAGCTGGTTGAACTCTCGAGGAATTAACATCTGTCGTGCACCTAGCGAGGGCATTTCGTGAGCCAAACGAGAAGAGTGACTACTCGGTCACTTCTAAAGGTTCGGTCATACAATTGGTCACCGAAATAAAACAGTATAAGCTAGCCCGGAACGCATCCTAAACACAGATTATTATATCTCCTAGAGGAAGCACCTAGAGAAAAGCTAGCAGATAGAAGCTTTGTGGAATCCTTCATCATTGCATTTTTTCTGTCAGTTTTACCCAGTTTTACCCAGTTTTACCCTTACAGATTCTATCGCATCGCGTGCTGTTGAAGTCTGCGAAGCAAGCATTAACGCTCAAAGATCAATGCAACGCTACCCCAAAGCATGGTCTACTCGCACTCGCCGCAGGATCACCGCACTAGCAAAATAGTTGGAATAGGCAAGTTGAGATTACAATTTTTTTATCTAGAAACCAACATCGCTAGAACCACAGAATTTGAGCTTTTTTGCCGCTTCATTTGCGGCTGATTCGGCCCGTGAACAAGCTACGAGCGCTTTCTAAAATGTACAGCAGTAAAGATTTTATGTACGGATTGAAAATATATCTGGGAATTTTCATTTTATACCCAATCAATGGGCCTATAATGCTTCCTGTAATCCGATTCGTTCTATTACCACCCGGGGTGATTGTTTAATTTGGGACCGTGCTGCATCCCACAACTTTTTGTACTGTAATTGGAGCAGTTTTTTTCTCGTTTTATAAAGCTTGTATCCTATAGAACCAGAACATGTTGTTGTCCATTGGCTCGCTAGTATCTTGGTGGAGTCTGCAGAATAAGGGTGTACGTAGTTAGTACAACGTAAGTATCTACTAACAGATACTTACGTTGTACTAACTACGTACATTCAATGACACACGTGACTGAATCTCTCATATCTATTTCTAATATCTTTCGTTACGTATAAAGAGGTGTATTCCCAGCTAAGTCGAAGACGATCTAGTTGAGAGTATATTCCCATTAAATGTAGGCACAGTTGTCATGTAAAAACAATACTATGATCGCGTGTGGTAGCTAGATTAGACATAAACGTTAATAGGCGGTGTCCTAGCGAATGATTTCGAGAAGTTTACTTTTGCCATCCAAAGCGGCAATTTTGGCACACCCTTCACAATTCTGAGTGATCCGTGGCATATCCGGTCCGAGATAGTTGCCTTACCGTAACCCTAAATTTATATCGGAGGTGATCTGCTAATCGGCCCAATATGTTGGACCATCCCTTTGCCAAAATAGACGAAACCACAATACATGTAGCGGAGCGCCACTGCTACATTTGTTGAGGTTGTGGTCCTTGTTATGAAGTCTTGGATCTTCACATATGCGCTCGCTGACATATAAGCCGGTAAGTCTCCCTTTCCGGACACCGTCATCTTCCAATGTGACTTCAACTAGAGCCCGATCTTACGCACTAAGTCTAGACTCATAACCTGCTCTGAAGCTCCGATATAACAAATATCTCGCCTGATGACCGTTTACAGCACCGTGCGCCATAACAACACTACCCTTCCTTGGCTCCGAGCCACGATCTTTCTACCATCGGTACCAATCTCCAGGATTCGGCATGAACCGACCCGATTACCTCATGTTCATCTGGATTCAGAAAAAAATCACAAGACAAAGCTGTCGTGCGTTGGATTGCCTTGGGTCTTTCCGCTTAGATCACGTAAGCATTCACTAGGACGCACATTCCGGGGTCTTCTCTTGCCCAGATCATTCGCGGTTCCCATGATCGAACTCACACATTGATTTGATTGCTCTCCAGAAATTTCATTACCATCCTGGTGGTTAAAACAGAACGTGCCTCGTCAATTTGTTAAGTTTACCCCACTGTCCTTATGGATTTCGTAGATCGTCACTTCTTTGCAGGGCCTTCCACGACGGATCTTATTGCATGTCATGCAGGGATCCATACATCTCTAGTTGAGAGAGCGACCATATTCTCCACAACGTGCACACGTGGTGCCTCTCCGGTATCACTCCCCACTTCTTGCACTTATCTCAGATCGTATTCCAGCACGATCTCTTGTGGGGTTGTTGATGTGCGCCAGAATTTGGGTCACCAGGACGCGGAGGTGGAAGCCACGCACGCTGTCCATGGGTCGAAAACCTTCCTCCATACGTGCTTGTGCCAACTTAGCATATCATCTATCGAGTGTATTCGAGGTATCCACTTGACACCCGAACGCAAGAACGTAATTCATTGTCATCCTAGAATGTCAAGACGTTGTTGGGGTCCGTGCATTTGGGTATGGTGGATAAGACGAAAAGTCAAGGTGAGTCTTTCGAGAAAATTGCAGAATGAGGGAATGTTCCTTCGTATTAAGCTTCATCGCCACCAAAGAAATTCGGCTGTGCTTATGTGAAGGACTTGTGAGGATATCATAGCAGCATATTAACATAGTCAATCGAGACTTTGTACTAAAAATATGACTTTAGTACAAGCACGCATATCTGTGAATGTCCGCCTAACCGACAACGGGATACTTTCCGGGCAAGTCGCGATGACCGATAGTTTACACATTCCCTCTATGATGCATGATCTTAGATCGTGCCAGTGTGGTTGACGAACGTGCCTGATCGAATTGACACGTGGACATCCGTGGCTCGCATAGTGGAGTGTTTTTATTTCTAACGACTTGATTCCTGCTATTTTGTTTGTACAGGGTCCCGGGTTGGCAA